AATTGAACTCAGGACCTTTGGAAGAGCAGGCAATGCTCTTAACCTCTCAGCCATCTCTCCAGCCCCCCAGATCAGGATTTTTAAAAACTACTCTGCTTTCAGTTTTTCTATGTATTCATAAATGAGATTTTTAAAAATGCTTACCATTCTGCATGATTACCTTTTTATTTTATTATTACTATTATTATTGTTATTATTATTAAAACAAGGTCTTCCTGTGTAGCCTGGACGGCTGAAACTTGCTATACATATCAGGCAGGCTCCAGACTCACAAAAATCCACCTGCCTTTGTTTCCCAAGTACTTGGTTAAAGGCCTGTGCTACCAGGAATAAGATGCACTTCTACTTCTTAGGAACTTGATTGACTTTAACCAGAAAACTGTTTGAGTCAGCCAAGTATTTATAACTCAAAACTCCTTTCTACCATTCACAAACATTTTCAAATAGGAAATTAAAGGCTCTGATTAATGTATTCTTCAGCAAAGAGATGCAAGGTTTCTGAGTCAGGCATGATGGCACACACTGTAATCCTAGCACTCAGGAGGCAGAGGCAGGCCAAACTACAGGTACTTGGAGCAAAAGACAACTAACTGTGGGGACGTCACTTGAAAGGACAGGGGACAGCTGTGTGACACTCACCAGAATTAACTGTAGCATACTTCTGTGTCTGCAACTCTAGTTCCAAAATCTTAACCATGGCTAAAAAAATAAAGGTCTAACTACTGATCTGCTTTCCTAGGAGTGTTTAAAATAGTAAAATATTAAATTAAAAACAGCCTGCTAAGACCACTCAAGGGTAAAGGTGTGGCCTTGCAAGTGTAGTGGCTGAGTTTGACCCCTGGAGCCCACATGAATGTGGGAGGAGAACTGACTCCACAGAGTTGTCCTTTCAGCTCCGTATGCACACCACGGCATGCACACACGCAAATACAAACTAAGTAATGTGACCAAAAATGAAGAGAAATGAAAATTAAAGATGTCAGTAACACGATGTAAGAAACTCTCAAGAGTATCAGAGGCAAAACCAGATTACAACAGGCCAAGGAGAAAATATCTACTTACTACATGCCAATGAGCTGAGCACATAACTGCTTAGTATACACCGGATGGGTGTTCTAACCCTACCAACACTGCTAGGTGAGGATTCCCAGCCCTAGCTTTCTTTCTGTCTGTTTGTGTTTGGGGGGGGGGGTTTCAAGACGGGTTTTTTTGTTTTGTTTTGTTTTGTTTTGTGCAGCTTTGGAGCCTGTCCTGGAACTCACTCTCTAGACCAGGCTGGTCTCGAACTCACAGAGATTTGCCTGCCTCTGCCTCCTGAGTGCTGGGATTAAAGGCGTGTGCCACCACCACTAGGCAGTATCCCTATTTTACAGAAGAGGAAACCCAGTCAAAATAGATTAGGTAATTTACAAGGATGCATGCAGGCATGTAAGTGGCAGAGGCTGATTCTCACGTGACTCACTGTTATCATACAATAGAAGGGCCAGTATGAGGGCTTCACATGCTATGAACGCACCAAATACATCATTATGGACAATAACTTTAATAAACACACAATTAGGCCGGAGCAGGGTGGGGGCGGGGTGTGGCGCACACCTTTAAACCCAGCACTCAGGAGGCAGAGGCAGGTGAATCTCTGTGAGTTTGAGGCCAGCCTGGTCTACAAAGCTAGTTCCAGGACAGTCAGGTTACACAGAGAAACCCTGTCTCAAAAATCAAAAAAATAAAAATAAACAATTAAGAACAAGTTTTGTGGTACTAGAAAGAAGGCTCAGCTGCTCTTCCAGGGGACCCAGGTCAGGATCCCAGCACCCCAGTGGCAGTTCATAAGTGTCTAAGATTACAGGCATGTGCCATAGGCATGGGCCACAATTGGAATTCTTTTTTTTGTTGTTTTTTTTGTTTTTTGTTTTTTTGGTTTTTCGAGACAGGGTTTCTCTGTGGTTTTTGGAGCCTGTCCTGGAACTAGCTCTTGTAGACCAGGCTGGTCTTGAACTCACAGAGATCCGCCTGCCT